AATATTGTACGGTAGGTTGTTGCTGCAAGGTTGCTCTTCTGCAGCGCTCTGCTGGAGTTTGTGAGGCTGCAAGGGAGAAGGCTCGCATGGCAGTGTCAATGGAAAATGAAAGATAACGCAGCCATTCTGCTCTTGCCATGAATTTGGACAGCCCTGTGCTGCACTGCTTGGCATGAAGAACTGCATGTAAGCTGTGGCACCTAGTATCTATCCTGTCCTCTTTCCTTTTCATTTTGGTGAGAGGGAGGCATGGAGGCCTTTCTAAAGGAAACAAGAGCCTGGTGTCTGGGCAGAGAGAAAGTAGAGGGAGGTCACAGAAATCTGACCACTCAGACTTCGTTAGATGGAACTGATAATCCTGCGCCTGGGGAGGAGGGGTGGAAACTCACTTCTACTTCCATTCATGGCCTGTGTGCTAGGTTAGATATTCATCTCTCAAAGACTTGATATCTCTTCAAGCCCCAGTGGGTTTCCATTGACACCGGAGAATGATCAAAGGGAGAATATGCTCTCTGTCATCGGACTGTGAGCTTGTACCTTATGGTCACGTTCCATATCGATCGGGAGCAGATTTCATCAGCACTTAGATCATGACAGTCTGCCTTTTTTTCTCAAGGTATTCTTTTCTCTCTTTGCTTGTCATCTTTGTTCCTGCCACCGCCTTCCTTTTCCTGATGCAAGTCTTTGTGTTCTCTTTATTTTATCTGTTGAAGCGATCAGGAGTTGAATACTTGGTACTTGCTAATGAAGCTTCTTTGGCAGTGAGAAGGCCAGGGAAGCTCACTTAAACTAATTGTTGTTTTAGGATCTCTCTAGGCATCCTGACCCTACATGCAGACATGGTTTATTTTTGAAAGATTGTCTTGAGTTAGAAAATCAGCTCTTGTCCTAAAATGAAAACACGCATTCATCAAAACCTGAATTTCACGTGGGTTGTGTAAACATGTAATTTGGGTTAGGTCCGGTCATTGGAAAATATGTGATGCTGTTGTCCAGGAAGTTACAGTGCAAGAAATGTGGGGAACTTCAGAAAGTCACATTAACTGTGTCTCCTTGGAGAATTGCCTCAGAAATCCTGACCTCTGCATTTCTGCTGTGTGCTTTATATGGTGTTAGCGAAGACGGTCACTTGAGCAGTTGCAACATTCTTGTATACGTGTGTTGCATGACATTATGAACTGTGGAAAGAATAATGCTGTGCTTCCCAAACCATTTCCCAGAGACTCTCTCTCTGCCCCTGCATGTGGCACATGAGCCATCACTCTGATCGTCAAAGCACTGTCTGCTTCGATCCGTGCCATGTTTCTTATGGTCAAATCACAGAAACCTTTTGCTAGGGGTCCGTGCACTTGACTTTCTAGGGGTGATGGTTGGGGTGCTCTCTGGCACCTCCGCTCTTTGCCAAGCCACCATCCAGGGTCAGTGTGTAAGGTTTTAGGCTGACCCGGATGCCCCGTTCCTATGCTCATCTGCTAAAGGTTTCCTGTGCAAGATGTTAGTTTTATTCTCTTCTTTATCAACCCTGACAACAGTTGTTATTTAAATGTTGCTCAATATTTTCAACATGATCTTGGGATGACTGCTAATTCCTTCAACCCCTTGTTTTGTTTTAGAATTTCTAATCCCATTTTCTATGACTAAATTCAGTTCTGTGGTTTCCACAGTGAGGATTAGGGTTTACTGCTATAGGTACGTCATTCAGCCTTTGAAGCTGCTTGCTCATGCTTTCCTTGGCAAGCTCTGGCAGACATGCGTAGCAACAACAGAGATCGTTATCTTTTTGAAGCTGCAAAAGGGTTAATCAGAAGCATGTTTATGAGACCAGGTTGCTTACCCTTACAAGCTTTTACTGTGATCTTTTTGGATGCTTTTGGAAGATTTATCACCTGCCTTTGTATTTTATATTACATTTTTCTTTCCTTTCTTGAATCTATTTTAATGCTATGTATGATATTGTTAAAATTAACTATGATAAGCAACTTTTCTTGGGAAGCCCTAAATTGCACACCTCTTGGATGCAAACTGGAGAATGGGACTGTCTTCATGTGGATCGCATAAGATTTTTGGCTGGTATGTTCAGGGTGGTTGAATGAGTGTAGGGCATCTGTACCTCTGTAGCTTCAAAACAAGTCCAACAAAAGGACTCGCATCCCCCAGGCAGGCAGATAGCTGTTTGTATAGATGCATGATTGGTCACAGTCGTGGTTGAGTTTATTTACTTATGTGTGCAGGGAGAGAGGCTGATGGCTATTCAAGGGAGTATTATTTTTCATCAGAGAGATTAAAGGTATTGCTATTGATCAGGAGATTTCTTTGTGTGGAGACTCTCCAATGAAATGGAGCACCTGCGTGTATGCAGTACTTCTTTAAAAATGTTAAACAGGATCTACCCTCTGATGGGAGTTGTTAATTGTGCTTTTGGCTCTATCTGCCTCACCGGCAGATGTACCATTGTGAAATTTTTACAACCTAATAAAATATTAGAGGATGCTTCACTTCAAGAGGAAACTTGATGGCTGCTTTCAGCTGATGCCTCTTTGAAAACCAGGTGAGAAACATGTGCTTGCCTCATTGGGACTTGCACCTACCTCCGCAGGCATAGCACCAGGATATTGATGTAAGGTTCATGGATTGCAAAGAGCCTGCATAGTTCTGGTAGGGTAGATGTTACGATGCCAGGCTCTGCATATTTGGTATGATGCAGTTGAACAGATCATGAAAATCTTAGTTTTTAATACATTGACTCAAAGTGGAATTATTTGTGCATTTCGATACAAAACGTGTCTTGCTTTTTAGTGCATTTCTAAAGCCATGAGGGAGACTCTTTGGACTTGCTGTGTTTACCCCAGTCTAGTAGTGAATGCTGAGCTTTGCAAGTACTGACTTTTGGTACAAAGTTGTGTGTTGCACATTTGTAATATAAGGATCTTCCAGAAACTCATAGGAATCTGGTGACTGGTATTTGTATTTTCTTGCTTGTTAAAATTGCACAAATCTAGAATCTTTTACTTCTGAAGATTTCATTTATCTAACATTTTTCTCTTCCCAGGAAGTATCGTCTCTCAGGATTTAAGCATTTGCTGATGCAGATCTCTGTGATCACAGATAATTAAAGAACTATCGAGTGTCACATCATTAGGTCACCAGTTCAAATCTAGTGCAAAGTGGTAACAGGCATTTTTAGACCCCTAACACCTTTCATCAGGATTTATGTTTAGTTGCTTAAACTAAAAACAGAGCATTTGCTATTCAGAATTATGGATTCAAGTGGAGAATAAAGACTAGAAGCAGGTTTTTCTATAGCAGAAAATCCTGTTTGACTTGTGTTAGTATCTGTACATGCTTGTCAGCATACATGGTGCTTTAGAAGAAGTAAAGGTAGCATTTTCCCAGAGGAGTGTGTGGTTTGCTGCATAAGATGTAATGCAGAAAGGCGACCTCACCTAGCAGAGAAGCGTATGCATTAGTCAAGTTGCGTATTTTTGGTGTGCTTTCCTATGACTTTTAAATTGCAAGAGCCTTTGAAGAAAGTATAGGA